AGTCATGTTGACAAGTTTCAGTCATTTGCTGCAGCAGCAGTCCTTTATCAAATAAAAAATAACAAGACACGCAGTTGAAACCTCAGTTAAGATATCTCATGAATTCGATGTGCAGTTTGTACAGTGACAGAAAGCAAAGTGTCACTGGTCCAGCTCACTTAAAGGCTACATGTGACCCATTGTGTAAAATTAAATTGTTATCCCTGTCTTACATAGTCTCAAGATTCAGCTGTTGTCTGTGGGGAACAGGCATACATTTAAACTCTATTGACATCATTTGATTTTTATTTATCTCAATTTTGCTGCTGCCTTGGGACAAAACCACTGGCTTCAGGTTAAATCACAAAGATCAGATGGGTGATCCACACCTGCTTCCAAGCTGCAGTCTGTGGCTTCATCAGGAGAAATCTGGTCATGTGGCGCACAGTCGCCTTGAGCTACTTTGTTATATAATACAATATGTATGATCCTATTATACAACAAAAAGCAGACACAGAAAGTGAGGCACAGGGATTGCATTACTCTTGAATACAAAAGTACAGAAATCTGGAAGCTATGCCGAGTCTTCCGCTGGTCCCAGGGATCATCAGTTAACCTCGTGACTGGAAAAACTCACATGTGAGAGAGAAAAACAACCAGTGAGGACAAATGAAAAAAGACCCAGTTCACATTGATCAGTGACAAAGATCACAGTAAGCATAAAAATGATAAGCATACTGTGTTGGATCTCAGTAACAACAGTTTGTACCACAGAAGAAAAGTGCAAATGTAGCCAAGTTATTGGTTTTAGTTGTGTCTCCAATTTATTTTGAAGCTGTTTGTTTTCATTACCATCAGCATCCAAAGCCACAAATACTTTGGCTCTTCTGTCAGTGACGTTGAGATCCAGTCCAGGCGACTCATTGTTCTCCTAATTTGTCTTGTATTTTGTGGCCTACATTGAGTCTGGTGTGCTGGTCGGACACTGCCCCAGTTATTCTATCTTCTCATTAATCACAGGATCTTTTTTTAGCATTTGGGCTCCTCAACAGTTCAAGGCCTCGTTTGTTGTCAGTTTACCACCTGAATCGTGGAGCCATGGTGTATTAACAAGCTGCTTCATAAGACACGAACCATCATTGGTCAGAATCTGGAGGCGTGTCAGTCAGTAAGAGACAGAAGTCACCAAACTTTACACCAGGGGTAGGCAACCCCAGGCCTCGAGTGCCGGTGTCCTGGAGGTTTTAGATGTGTCCATGATTCATCACAGCTGATTTAAAGGGCTAAATGACTCCTCAGCATTTCTTGAAGTTCTCCAGAGGCCTGGTAATGAACTAATCATTTGATTCAGGTGTGTTGACCCAGGGTGCAATCTAAAACCTGCAGGACACCGGCACTGGAGGCCTGGAGTTCCCCACCCCTGCTTTACACGCTCCACACCACACAGACAGCAGAGCCTTTCTGTGACAGGTCCACAGACCTGCTCCATATTTATATTTCTGTATTTTTGAATGCAGTCTGCACGTCTTTATTGCCCAGTGTCAGTCTTACTTTTATCTTAACCTTGTATTTATTTTCTTTTTATCCTGTTTTATAAATAAAGATCTGACAGCTTATGGCCTTCCCCATGTGCCTGTGGAACTTTAATTTAACTCTGTTATTTATTTTTTTATCCTACTGCTGCAACACAATCATTTCCTCTGTGGGATCAGATATTTAAGGAACTCTCCTGAAGAGTTTGGAAGAATGCTCTAATCCAGGGGTGGGGAACTCCAGGCCTCGAGGGCCGGTGTCCTGCAGGTTTTAGATCTCACCCTGGGTCAACACACCCGAATCACATGATTAGTTCATTACCAGCCTCTGGAGAACTTCAAGACATGCTGAGGAGGCCATTTAACCATTTGAATCAGCTGTGTTGGATCAAGGACACATATGAAAGCTGCTGGACACCGGCCCTCGAGGCCTGGAGTTGGACACTCCCACAGCTTTACAGATGCTTTCTTTTGAACTATGCACTGATAACAAGTTGGATAATCATCATATTTGACCTAGACTGACTACAAAGATTTTCCCAGATTCTTGGCAATGTTGTTCCTAAATGTTTCACCCATTCTGAACACACAAGTCTGAGAGTAGTGAACCCTCTTCTCTATCTTCAGTCTCTCTGGAATGACCTCTTTTTGTGCCTAATCATGTTACTAACCTGCTGCCAGGTCCAACCTGAAAAGTTTCACTGGCTCAAATAAAAATGAGCGAAAGAAAATAATACAATAAAAAAACTAACGATGTTTGTTCTGATGTGTTTGTAGCTTTAAAATTACATTTTTTAATTAAATATTTGGTTTGAATTATACACAACTCAAAACTGATGGTGACAACTTTACCTACAGGCTTCCGTTCATTGAGCTGTTGCTAATAAAGTTTTCCCCCTCGTGTGGGCTGACTCTTTCAAACAGCCGAAGCCTTCTGTGAGGTTTAAAGCACTCTGCTGGTGATAACGACAACAACAAAACACTTTTTAAAAAATACCAACAACAAAAAAATGTTTATTTTGTCTTTTCCTGTATGTACAAAACATTATGACAAACTAATTTAAAGGCCAGATCACATTCTTATGATACGACCGCTACACTCATCAGTCCTGTACACCGAGTCCCAGGCAGAGTCTCCTCAGACTCCAACTATTTGAACTGATTATCAATGAGAGTGCCCTTCATCTTGGCCTTCTTGGCCTCCAGCTCAGCCAGCTCCTGCAGCCTCCTCTTGCTCATGCCCTTCCTCTCCAGCTGCTTCTCGATCACTTTGGCATTCTGGGCATAGGAGTCCGCCACCTCCCTGGCCTCGATCTCCTCCTCCTCCTCGTCGATGGTGGAGACGGTGACGGAGCTGAACTTGCCCATGTCTTTGGTCCGCTTGGTCATCATCACTCGGACTTTCTTGGGAGCCTCGGGCTGCTTCTGGCTGTAGACGCTGGTGTTGCCGAAGCCCTGCCCGAACTTGACCACGGCCCCGTCCACGATGAAGGTGGCCGGGTTGTTCTTCTCCTGGTGCTGGTAGAAGAGCAGCAGGCCGCATTTGCCGCACTTCTTGCGGTACTGCCTCTCGATACCCTCGGCTCTCTTGATGTACGTGTTTTCGTCCTCCTCCACGTTGCAGAACTTGTGAGCGTGTTTGGCGGCGTCGATCACCCGGGCTTTGTCCCGGGGTCTCATGGGCAGCTTCTCCAGCTGGCAGTCCAGGACCAGAACCATCTGGCCGCACAGGCAGTAGTAGACGTGGAGGGGCTTCTCTCCGTCGTCGTACTCCTCCCGGTCTCTGGTGTCCGAGCACACGACGCTCCTGGAAACCACCTTCGGCATGTTCACACGCGTGGGTGTATTTTACTACCAGGACGGGATCAGAAACACCGCTACAGCCAAACTTGCCCAGAAAATAGAAACAACGCAATAGTTCCTGTGTGCACCGACGATATTGTTCCCGCGAGAAACCCAAGTGCCGAATATTTGTTCCGCCTTCACAGATCGTTCCGCGAAACTCAAAATAAATAGATTTTATTACAACCCCAAACCAAGAAATACAACTTTATTACAGATTAAACGTATGTATGTAACACTACCTCACAACAATAGTGCTCTTTGCAAGCACCTCCAGGGCAGGTGTCCTGCAGGTTTCAGATCTCACCCTGGGTCAACACACCTGAATCAAATGTTCAGTTCATTACCAGGCCTCACGTTGAGGGGGTCATTTAAGTCAGCTGTGTTGGATCAAGGACATCTAAAACCTGCAGGACACCGGTCCACCCTTGGGCTACAGTAACAGAGCAGAGGAGGATCCTCTTTGAGCCAGCACGTAACAGGCCATGATTGGAGGTGAGGGGAAAGACAAAGGATCAAGAGCCTGCAAAAAGGATATTACGTATTTGCCCCCACCCCATTCAACTAGGCAAACGGGCTAATAAGTTTAAATTCCATTTCTGGTTAAACGGGGCAGACATTTTCAGTCTGCTGGCTCACAGCCACGTGTAACAGTTCTGGACTAATTTTATAGCAGCTTTTGTTCAGTTCAAGTTACAACTTCAGTTTTCCAAATGCTAATACGCCAGCTAATGCATTTGGACTTCCAACTTTAGATTTGAGAACAGTTTCTTTGCATCCCTGCAAGAGCCTTTTAAGTGGGCCACACAGTTTAGTAGCAATCATGAGTCAATTTAACTTTAGTCCTTATTCCAAGATGAAGATTCCAGCATTACACAAAGTACCACAGAGCGTGACCAGAGTGAAATGATGCACTGACATCAGCTGAATTAATACACCAGACAGGTCATAGCGTCAATAAACATGTTTATTTCAGACACCCAAAGACAAGTACAAAATCATCCGTCACCATTTCGTGGACGTGTAAATTTATGATTAGTGGCAAATAAATGACTCCATAATTTCAGCAGAGAGCTGATGCTGCAGACTCCTCACTGGCAGCAGCTGGTGTCGCACGTCTTCCCTTTGCACACGCAGCCAGAGGCGCATTTGCTGCAGCCGGATGGGCAGCAGTCGCAGCAGCCTGCAGTGACAGACATCATTACTGACAGAACACAAAGAAAACTACAGATCTCACTAAAGCAATTCGAGCCGCTGCGCATTTTGTTTTTTTTAAATGGCATCAAATGCGGAATTTTGAAGAAATGGCGCATGACTATAAGACACAATCTTCACACTATGCATGTTGGGAAGATAAACAGGAGCGTAACATTAACAGGTCGACAGATTACTGTTTGCTGTGCTGTGAGGTGTTAGACTTACTCTTCTTACAGCTCTTGCATGAGCACTTTGTGCACGTGCAGGATCCTCCGCAGTTGCAGGTTCCAGCTGCACATAAAAAAAGTCAGTTGAGTTTCATGTGGTCCATGTGGTAACAAGCAGCGCATTAAATAGCCTTGTTAAACAGCGGCAGGAATACTCACTCTTGGCGCACTCGCAGGGGTCCATTTCTCAGTTGATGGCTCGTTCAGAGTGATGCTGGCGTTGCTCTCGTGTCTTCGGGACTTGAGTGAATGTTGTGAATGACGGTGTAGGAGTGGCTGTTTTATAGCGTCCTGGGAACAACAGAGCCGAGTGCAAAACACGCCTGTCAAGCTACACGCAATCACGTGGTTAATGATTACAAAGAGGTTTGTGCACACGGCATGGTCCAACCTTTCAGCAGCGGGAACAGAGAGATCCTCATAGCCAGATCTATGGCCTGCTGCCTGAACATTATATAAGAATGTCAACTCCTGGAGAAATTCAAGCATGCAATTAATTCATGTATTTAAACAGAGGAGAACATCTTCAGGCTACACGGAGATGTGAACACACGGTCACAAACGCTCACCAACACTGATTCATGTAGAATGGGCTACATGAAGTGCGGGTCTCCAATCAGAACGTCTTAGTTTTATATGGATGGAAGTGACTCTCATATTAACCATTTGGAGCTAATATGAGAGGATGTTGGGTGGATGGGCGCACGAATGATCACCAACACTATTATTTTAAAAATTACAAAAAAACTTTTCAGCATCTGCGAAGATTCTTCACAGAAAACATTTCCGTTCAGTATTTTCATAACAAACTTAACCTCATACTTGATTAATTGAAACTAATACACTCTATGCCGGTATTATTTTGACAGTGCGATCATTTCATGGGAGTAAACATCCACATTAAATATCCTAAATCCAAATCTAACCGCTCATTAAAAAAAACTGGAAACTAACTGAATTGTTGTCTTTAAATGTTTTTAAAACTAAACTCAAAGGCCTACAGGCTGCCTCAATAATGTGTAATTGTTTTGTGTAATTTTAACTTTGTTTGTTCGTATGTATTTGTCTTGAAATGTGCTGCCTCTTGGCCAGGACTCCCTTGAAAAAGAGGTCTTTGATCTCAACGGGACATTCCTGGTTAAATAAAGGTTAAATAAAAAAATAAAAATAAAAAAAATAATAACACATGTAATATATCGTGTGACTCCTCAGTTTTGCTCATTTTTTTTATAATAAAAATAATATAGTCATCATGTTGTTGAACAACTGCAGCGGAGAACACGGGGTGTTTCTGGCGCTGTGCACACGGTGCAAACCAGCTGGCGTCTGTCTGCCGTCGGTGTCGAGCTGCACCCGGCCGCTCGTGAGCAAACCGAAGCAAACAGGCTATTGTAATATGCTGCGTTCACGTACCGTGTGCTATCGGAAATACCGGATTCAGCAGCGAGCCGTGTGCATATGGCACGTGAGACGTCGCGTCTCCCCACAGAGGACAGAGAAAATTGTTGTGCATTGTTGTTACACAATATATATTTTTTTAATAATAGCAGTCTTACAAGAAATTAAACACCAAAATCGCACAACGCATAAAATATCCGTGGGGAAACATCGGTGCGCAACAATAAAGAATCAAACAGAATAGGCGAGCTTTAAAAGAAGTGCTTTGTCGGTATGTGTGAGTACAATAGAACAGAACAAAATTAATCTCGGCTTCCGTAATCCTGGATGCTTCGCACTTGGTTGCTTAGTTTTTTATGTCTATTTGTCTATAAAGACGATCTGTATTTACAATTCTTAGGTTTTCCATGACGGGAGCGTGAAGGCAGCATCATTCACTGCACTCGACACAGTCACTGGAGTGTTTGTCCATTAACATGTAGTTTCTAGAAAGAGTGTGTCAGCCGATGTAAACCGCAGGGAGCGACGAGCGAAACGAGCTTTAGAGATGAGTGCTACTCTTCTTAGCGAAGCAGCTGAAAATGGCAATTATGAGGGGAAAAATCGGTCATAATATAATAATACTGCAATTAGATTCAGTCCATCCATTTCCTATCGTTCATCCAGGGTTGGGGAGGGGGCAGAGTACTCCGGTCTGCTAACACAGACCTACAAATCAAGAAGAAGAAGACACTTTAAATAACTCAATTACCTGAGCTGACTGTCCAAAAACATTGGTGAAAACAGAGAGGGGAACTACTGTGCTTTCCCCCGTTTCTTTTTGTTTTCTTGGACTCTAGTGGAGTCCCAGCTATGTTCACACAACCTTCTGTGCCTGCACAACTTTTCATTTAGAGTCATCAGACCAAAATGTCTCTGGGGACAGAGGACACTTTATAGGACTTGGAACAAATTGAATGCTTCTGTCTGGGATGCAGTGTTACATGTTGGTGCAGTGATTAGCAGCAAAGTCCAAACACAGATTTGTTGGTTTAACTGGTGATTCTAAACTGGTCACTGTGTGATTGTGAGGATGAATGACGTTGTTGGGTCTGTGTTTCCACAAGCCCGGCTAGTTTAGAGACTTATTCATCATGAAGAAAACAAGACATAACAGAACATCTTCAAGTGGTTTTTCACTCGCTAACGAGGGACGCTTTGGTCAAGAACCAGCTCTTGGAGCCCACGCTCCCGTCTCCAGCCCAAAATCCTTCCAAGAGCAGCTTCCCTCACAGCTATTTATTGACAAACTGTTACAATACACATCACAGCACAAGCACCTCCCTCTGTAAAACCCCCTTCTAAGACAAGGCACTATATGTGTGTATGTGTAAGCACGTATATGCATGTGCAAGAATGTGTGTGTGTGTGTGTGTGTGTGTGTGTGACCTCCTGCTGACCAAAAGGGTCATAAAAGCAGGAAGCTTACAACAGAAGCTTCTTCTACAATAAAACCTCCCCCAGCACAGAGTGGCTGGAGAGGTGGTCAGGATCAAAGGAATGTCTTGAACTCAGACTTACAAATTTAAGAAGCCCAATGACAACATTCAACAATTAGACTTAACAGACGTCCTTCTCTCTCCCAGGACCCCAAGACTACGCCATGCTGGGTCATACATGTTTTGTTAACCCTTAAATGAAACACTGCCACTGAAAAACACGTTTGCATTATTTACGGTTTAAAAATGTCAGTGCAGCAGTGCAGTGTTTCAGCCACTGTCTGAAACAAGCTGTTATAACTCCGCCTCTGTTTGGCCTACGTCCTTTTGATTGGCTGCTTCTTACAAGCAGAAGTTTTGAACAGCTGCTTTTAGGGATTTTTGTTCTCCTAGCCACAGCTGTGTGACTGAGATCACACCATCAATATAGTCATGTCATCAAAATAAGGCCATCCCCTCACTGAAACATGATGTGGTAAATGGCCTGTATTTGTATAGCGCTTTTCTAGTCCTTAAGGACCCCAAAGCGCTTCACACTACATCCAGTCATCCACCCATTCACACACACATTCACACACTGGTGATGAAGCTACATTGTAGCCACAGCTGCCCTGGGGCGCACTGACAGAGGCGAGGCTGCCGGACACTGGCGCCACCGGGCCCTCTGACCACCACCAGTAGACAAACATGGGGTTAGTATCTTGCCCAAGGATATTTGGCATGTAGTCAGGAGGCAGCCTGGGATCCACTGACCTTCTGATTAGTGGCTGACCTGCTCTGCCACCCCCGCCACATGATATAGAGCCAGGAGCAGAACATTTTCATTATTTGAAATTTTAGCCATGTTTTATGAAAAGCCAGCATTTTAACAGCAAACGTGACACAAAGTAAAACAAGAGAGAAGAAAAAAGCTCCACCTTACATGTAAATAACCTGTCATACATCCTTTATGAATACACTGCTTGGATAAATATGCAGTAGTTCCTGTTTTTGTACATGATTCATTTTGGACCCTGGATGTGAGAACTGTCCATTACTCCCTGAAGGTGCTGTTTCAGTCCGGGAGCGCTAGAGGGAGACAGTTACACGTGTATCTACTGGTGGACAAGAATGCATAATATGAAACAACTCAGCTGCAAGTGTAAGTAACTGGTGTTAAAATATTTAAAGGCAGATACCAACAACCCAAATTCAAATGGCACAGGTGGCCTTACGTGCTCTATTTGAACTAGAATGCCTGACTTAATGTGATGGACACACGTTAACGAGCAGTTATAGGAGAGGAAAGTGTGGAAGTGGCATAACAACATCCCCTGTCCTGGTCAGAGCCTCTTTGCAAGTGTTGCTCTGCTCATTCTGAGAAGTGATTACGCTGTCTTAAATTTCATACTCAGTGACTGTCTGCATGTTCTGTCCACCAAGATGTGTGTTTATGTCAAAGGTCAGTAATGCCGACAGACAGACTATACTTTACACTGATGGGATATTCTAACAAAGTGTTAGGCATGCTCCCAGCAAGACTCGCTTCTCTTAACTCTGTGTGTGTGTGTGTGTGTGTGTGTGTGTGTGTGTGTGTGTGTGTGTACAGGGCAGACAGCTGAGCTGCTATATTTGATCCTTCCAAGCCCAGCATGGGACAGGGTACATCCACTACACACACGCAAAAATGACATGCTGACCATTGCAAGGGATTTTATTTTGCATTAAAACTGAGATAATACAGCTGAGTTGCTACAATGCACTCTTCACAACTGTGTAGAATATATATATAATATTTAATTCAATGAGCACAGATATTGTGAGAAAATGGTGTCAGCTGAGGAGCGCTCCTGCCGCTGAGCTCTGAGTTATTTGCTGAGCATGCTGGGATCTTGTTCCACCTGGACAGGCATGTCTGTGTCTTCTTGGATCCACTGAGCACACGGTGTCAACTACCTCGCAAAAAAAAGAAAAAAGAAAGAAAACCGGAGCTTCTCTTGCAGTTTGTGGAGACGGCGGCCTATTGCACGGTAAACCCATGTTAGCAGCGGAGCAGTTTTCCGTATGGGCCACGTGTTCTCTGTTCCAGATGATCTGCTGTTGGACAGACTGTGAGAGGAGAAGTGAGCACTCATCAACTTTCTAGGAAGGTTCTTTCTAATCTGGTGACAGAGCCCATCCTCAAGCAGGTCAGTGCAGCACAAATGATGAATTCAGCAATAAACGCTTCACTAATAATAATTTTTAAATAGTAATGAGATAAAACCTGGAAAGTTGAGGTGGATTTTCTTAAACTGACCGCTGAGATGAAGCTGCAGTAGGTGCACTAAACAACGGTTTGTTTTCAGTCACTGAGTGAAGAGGGTGAGTAGGTGTGAGAAATGCTCATGATTCATGTTGAACCAAACAGATCCA